TGGCTAAGGGAAGAAGGTTCTTACCCAAGATTTGACGGTACATTGCCCCGTCCATCATCCCTTTGATGCAGTTTAGTTGTCCTGTCCTCTTTTTTATTATTATTATACAGTATTTATATAGCACCAAAGGGTATGCTCATCGCTGTACAGTAGCAAGGGGGACAGAAAATGAGACAGAACAGTAACAATACAATTCACGAGGGGTTCGAGGGCCCTGCTCTTTCGAGCTTACAATCTAGGAGGGAGGGGAAGGTGGTACAGGAGGAAATCGCTGTGGGGGATGGAGTGGTGGGAGGAGTGGAGGAGGTTAGTTGTTAGGTGAGGTCAGGTGTTAGGTGAGGTTGGGGTAGGCTTCCCTGAAGAGGAGGGTTTTCAGGGTGCGCCTGAAGATGAGGAGGGTAGGTGACAGTCTGATGGATTGGGGTAGGGAGTTCCAGAGGATGGGGGAAGTCCTAGAGAAGTCCTGCAATCGGGCGTGGGTGGAGGAGACCAGGGAGCTAGAGAGTAGGAGGTCCTGTGAGGAGCGGAGGGCACGGGTAGGGTAGTATTTGGGTATCAGGCCGGTTATGTAGTTTGGGGCGGCATTGCGAATGGCTTTGTAGGTCAGAGTTAGCAGTTTGAATTTGATGCGTTGGGCAATCGGGAGCCAATGAAGGAATTGGCAGAGGGGGGAGGCAGATGTGGAACGGTTGATGAGATGGATGAGTCTAGCCGCTGAGTTTAGGATCGACTGGAGTGGGGATAGCGTTCGTTTGGGTAGGCCAGTGAGAAGGGAATTGCAATAGTCCAGGCGTGAGATGATGAGGGAGTGTACGAGTTGTTTGGTGGTGTCTGGGGTGAGGAATGTTCGTATCTTGGAGATGTTGCGGAGGTGGAGCCTGCAAGATCTAGATAGCAGTTGAATGTGGGGTAGGAAGGAGAGGTGGGAGTCCAGGATGACACCCAGGACTTTGGCGTGTGGGGTGGGAGAGATGGTGGCATTGTTAGTAGTGATGGAGAGGATGGGGGGGGGGCGCGCGGGGGGGGGGGGGGGGGGGGGAGACCAGGAGCTCGGTTTTGGATAGGTTAAGTTTGAGGAAATGGAGCGACATCCAGTCTGATATGTTGTTTAGGAGGTGGGCAATGCGGGCGGAGAGTGAGGGGGTGAGGTGGGGGGTGGAGAGGTAAATTTGGGTGTCGTCGGCATAGAGATGGTAATTGAAGCCATGGGAGTGAATAAGTTTGCCAAGGGAGGAGGTATAGATGGAGAAGACTGTCTTAGCACAAAAACACCCCCAAAGCAGAATGTTTCCACCACTATGTTTGACAGTTGGGATGGTGTTCTTGAGGTCATAGGCAACATTCCTCCTCCTCCAAACTCGGGGAGTTGAGTTGATGCCAAAGAGCTCAATTTTGGTCTCATCTGACCACAACACTTTCAACCAGTCCTCCTCTGCATCATTCAGATGTTCAGTGGCAAACTTCAGAGAGGCTGGACATGTGCTTTCTTGAGCAGAGGGTCCTTGCGGGCACTGCAGGATTTCAATCCTTGTCGGCGTAGCGTGTTACCAATTGTTTTCTTAATGACTGTGGCCTCAGCTGCCTGGAGATCATTGACAAGATCCTCACGTGTAGTTTTGGAATGATTCCTCACTGTTCTCATGATCATTGACACTCCATGAGGTGAGATCTTGCATGGTGCACTAGACCTAGGGAGACTGACAGTTGTTTTGTGTTTCTTCCATTTGTGAATGATTGCACCATTGTTGTCACCTTCTCACCAAGCTGCTTGGTGATAGTTTGGTAGCCCAGTACAGCCTTGTGTAGATCTACAATCTTGACCCTGACATCCTTGGACAGCTCTGTGGTCTTTGCCATGGTGGAGAGTTTGGAATCTGATTGTTTGATTGCTCCTGTGGACAGGTGTCAGGAATGGACTCAGCACTGGTGGTGGGACTCACCTGCCATGTGGGCTGCAGTACCAGGGCTGACCAGCGGGTGCTCTCAGCAGCCAGAAGCTCACTCCTGCAGTCGGCCAACACCTGGGGCTGATTGCAGGAGGTGTATTTAAGGAATGACCAGGCCTGTGATCTGGGCCTTGGTGTATGTTTCCCATGAGCCCCTGTACCTGGTATCCTGTGTTCCTGCCTCGTTGCTGACCCTGCTTGATCCTGACCTCTGCTGACTGTCTCCTGTTGAACCCCTGGCTTGCCTGACCATCCTTCTGCCTGATCCTCGGTACCGCGCTGCCCGCCCGCTACCTGCTGAACCTGGCTTGTGACCCCGACCATTCTCTGCTTGCTCCTCCTGTACCACGCTGCCCTCACGATACCGACCCGGCCTGTCTGACTACGCTTACTTCACCCGACGATCCATCCATCCCGCATGGATCACCTCTAGTAAGTCTGCCTGCCTCTTCTCATCAGACTCCGTTCCTGCACTCCCCTGCCAGTACTCGCTACCACAGCCGGACGCACTCAGGGGTCGCGACCTGGTTCCAGTCTGCACCAAGTCCATCCCCACCATCAGGGGCCCTGGTGAATAGCAGGCTGGGACTTAGACCCCGCGCCCTGAGGAAATCCGTGCTGTGGGCTCAGCCTGCCTGACCGCTCCACCTCTCCAGCCCTGACTGCACTGGTACCTATTCGTTTAAGGTTTATTGCACCTGGTTGTACATATTTATGTAAGTGTTGAGTTTGATTGTTTGCACTGCGTTTACGTTTGTGTTGTCTTTAATAAATTATATTGTGTTACACGCTATACCTGAAGTCTGTGTTTCCCTGTGTTGGTCCACACACCTCTGGTCATACCCGGAGCCCTGACAACAGGTGTCTTTTATACAGATAAAAAATGAGATTAGCAACGCTCCCTTTATGAGACTACTTCTAATCTCAGATTGTTACCTGTGTGAAAGACACCTGGTAGCCAGAAATCCTTCTGAATGATAGGGGATCAAATACTTATTTCCCTCATGAACATGCAAATCAGTGCATAATTTGTTAAACATGCATGTCTTTTGAATTCTTTTTTGCTATTCTGTCTCTCAGTGTTACAATACACCTACCATTCGATTTTTAGACTGATCACTTCTTTGTGAGTGGGCAAACTTTCAAAATCAGCAGGGGATCAAATACTTATTTCCTTCACTGTATATACTGCTTGTGCTACAGAATACTGCATGGTCCCCAGCTGTGCACCCATAGACTGTCTTAGTATACTACTGCTTGGCTACAGAATACTGCATGGTCCCCAGCTGTGCACCCATAGACTGTCTTGATATACTACTGTTTGTTATACTGCATGAGCCGTAGCTGTGCACCCATAGACTGTCAGTATACTACTGCTTAGTTACAATATACTGCATGGACCCCAGCAGTTCACCCATAGACTGTCTTAGTATACTACTGCTTGGCTACAGAATACTGCATGGACCCCAGCTGTGCACCCATAGACTGTCTTAGTATACGACTACTGTACTTGTGCTACAGAATACTGCATGGTCCCCAGCTGTGCACCCATAGACTGTCTTAGTATACTACTACTGTACTTGTGCTACAGAATACTGCATGGTCCCCAGCTGTGCACCCATAGACTGTCTTAGTATACTACTACTGTACTTGTGCTACAGAATACTGCATGGTCCCCAGCTGTGCACCCATAGACTGTCTTAGTATACTACTGCTTGGCTACAGAATACTGCATGGTCCCCAGCTGTGCACCCATAGACTGTCTTGATATACTACTGTTTGTTATACTGCATGAGCCGTAGCTGTGCACCCATAGACTGTCAGTATACTACTGCTTAGTTACAATATACTGCATGGACCCCAGCAGTTCACCCATAGACTGTCTTGGTATACCACTGCTTGGCTACAGAATACTGCATGGACCCCAGCTGTGAACCCATAGACTGTCTTAGTATACTACTGCTTGGCTACAGAATACTGCATGGTCCCCAGCTGTGCACCCATAGACTGTCTTAGTATACGACTACTGTACTTGTGCTACAGAATACTGCATGGTCCCCAGCTGTGCACCCATACACTGTCTTAGTATACTACTACTGTACTTGTGCTACAGAATACTGCATGGACCCCAGCTGTGCACCCATAGACTGTCTTAGTATACTACTACTGTACTTGTGCTACAGAATACTGCATGGTCCCCAGCTGTGCACCCATACACTGTCTTAGTATACTACTACTGTACTTGTGCTACAGAATACTGCATGGTCCCCAGCTGTGCACCCATAGACTGTCTTAGTATACGACTACTGTACTTGTGCTACAGAATACTGCATGGTCCCCAGCTGTGCACCCATACACTGTCTTAGTATACTACTACTGTACTTGTGCTACAGAATACTGCATGGACCCCAGCTGTGCACCCATAGACTGTCTTAGTATACTACTACTGTACTTGTGCTACAGAATACTGCATGGTCCCCAGCTGTGCACCCATACACTGTCTTAGTATACTACTACTGTACTTGTGCTACAGAATACTGCATGGTCCCCAGCTGTGCACCTATAGACTGTCTTAGTATACGACTACTGTACTTGTGCTACAGAATACTGCATGGACCCCAGCTGTGCACCCATAGACTGTCTTAGTATACTACTACTGTACTTGTGCTACAGAATACTGCATGGTCCCCAGCTGTGCACCCATAGACTGTCTTAGTATACTACTACTGTACTTGTGCTACAGAATACTGCATGGACCCCAGCTGTGCACCCATACACTGTCTTAGTATACTACTACTGTACTTGTGCTACAGAATACTGCATGGACCCCAGCTGTGCACCTATAGACTGTCTTAGTATACTACTACTGTACTTGTGCTACAGAATACTGCATGGACCCCAGCTGTGCACCTATAGACTGTCTTAGTCCACTTCTACCTATCCTGCTGCTACAAAGAGAAGGGTCATAAGCAAGGGCGGACTAACCATTTGGAAACTCAGGCACTACCCGAGGGCCCGGGGTCAGTAGGGGGCCCCATGAGATGCCCTTGGTACCTTTTTCATAGGCTTTTTTGAGTTTGGGCAAGGACACAGGGGCCCCATGATCGCCTATTGCCCGGGGGCCCCATGAGTTGTCAGTCCGCCCCTGGTCATAAGCAAGTTCTGCTTAACTTTCTGGAAGTTCCTGAACATGGAGCTTCATGACAAAATACCAGATTTTTTTTATGAACTTGCACATTTAAAACATTAAAGACTAAGTTCATCTTGAGGAAGATGTTACATGTTACATGTTACACCTGTATTTAGGGTGTAACATGTAACAAGTTATTAAGCACCCACTTCCCACCCCCAGAGCCTTCTCCCGTGACAGCATGCGGGGTTCTTCACCCCCACAATCACTGTCACGTAAAATCAGTGCAGCTGTACAGGGCTCTACCAGCACAGCTGCCTCACTTATTCCATCAGATCTGTGAATGAATTAACTACAGTCCACCATCGCAGCAGACAAACTTCTCAGTGGACGCTTCCTCCAGCTTTCTAACTGACAGCCCATACAGAGATACAGGCAGAAGCCTGCAGGAAGAGTCTGCATTTATTTTTTTCGCCTAAAGCAATTATAAACCCGATATCAACAATGTAATATATTACAGCTTAGCAATCATTAAATGTGTTGGCTGCATTAGTTTTCTTTTTTAGGCTTTTTTCCATCTGTTTTCACCTGGTGATCTGGCCAACACCTCCTGTATTAGAGTGCCCCCACTCTATATGAAGGAGCAAGGGGGCACAGAGGACAGCCGTATTGTCAGTCTGGGGGGAGGGCAGTGCTAAATGTACTAGCAGATTTATATACACTAACAAATTGAAGCCAAACTCCAACTTACACTTTATAATCAGTTATAGCAAACATTTTTTTTCTTTTGGGGTAAAATTTTTAACATTTTTTACAAATAAAAGTGGATCAATGTATGCACCCCTGCCAGTGCTAATGATTTGTCTCATCCATGTATATTGATACATCTGGAAGAGAGCTTGTTCTTTTGAAAAACAACAGACTAACTAGCCTGATCCCCAGATGAAAATAGAAGAAAGAAAGCAAAATAAAGAAAACTAATGCAGCCATCACAAGAAGAATTGGTAAGCTGCAATATAATAAATGCTTGCTTTTGGATTTAATCCTGCTTTAAATTTGAACTTAGCTTTTCAAGCTAGTTGCACACATACTGAAGGCAGTCGGGGACATGTGAGATTCCCAAACAGCAATGAAAGTGCACTGCTCGTTAGCAGATGCATGGGGTGTAATTAATAGTTAATGGTTCCCCACACATCAGAAAACGCAGCACATATTTAGGTGTGGAAAACCGCATAGAGCAGCAGCACCATGCAGCTCCATGTAGCTGCGTTTTGAAAAAAGGGTTGGGGACATTTTCCATGCATTTCCCACTGGTACAGCAACCCATTGAAATGAATGGGGCATGCAGGATTCTCATTATCATGAACCTAGACTAAAGCCCGGTACACACTGGAAGTTTTTCTTTTTTCATTCAGCCCAGCGAGTTTTTTGCTGGATTCAGCTCCCCAAGCGAGTTTTCAACCCTTGCTGGAAGAGATGACACACCCCCCTTGCTCCACAAGCTCCATGGGATTCCCCCATCAACACAGTCAGTGTGTGTTCTCCTGGTAGAGATGACTGTCCACATGCCCCCCTTGTTGAAGAACACAATAGCTCCATGAGAGGGATTCCCCCATCAACACAGTCAGTGTGTTTTCCTCCAGGTAGGGATGACTCCCCAAACTCCCTTTGCTCGAAGAACACTTAGCTCCACAAGAAGAACACAGAGTCAGCTCCATAGGGATAGCTCTCCATCATTCCCCCTTGCTGGAAGAACACAATAGCCCAACACGAAAGTCAGTGTGTTCTCCTGATAGGGATGACTCCCCATGCCCCCCTTTCTTGAAGAACACAATAGCTCCATGAGAGGGATTCCCCCATCAACACAGTCAGTGTGTTTTCCTGGTAGGGATGACTCTCCAAACTCCCTTTGCTCGAAGAACACAATAGCTCCACAAGAAGGATTCCCCATCAACAGAGTCAGTGTGTTCTCCTGGTAGGGATAGCTCTCCATCATGCCCCCCTTGCTGGAAGAACACAATAGCCCACACACGAAAGATTCCCCTATCAACACAGTCAGCGTGTTCTCCTGATAGGGATGACTCTCCACACCCCCCTTGCTGGAAGAACACAATAGCTCCACGAAAGGGATTCCCCCATCAACACAGTCAGTGTGTTCTCCTGGTAGGGATGACTTCCACACCCCCTTTGCTGGAAGAACACAATAGCTCCATGAGAGGGATTCCCCCATCAACACAGTCAGTGTGTTTTCCTGGTAGGGATGACTCTCCACACCCCTTTGCTGGAAGAAACACAATAGCTCCATGAGAGGGATTCCCCCATCAACACAGTCAGTGTGTTTTCCTGGTAGGGATGACTCTCCAAGCCCCCTTTGCTTGAAAAACACAGTAGCTCCACAAGAGGGATTCCCCATCACAGAGTCAGTGTGTTCTCCTGGTAGGGATAGCTCTCCGTCATGCCCCCATTGCTGGAAGAACACAATAGCTCCACAAAAGAGATTCCCCTATCAACACAGTCAGCGTGCTCTCCTGGTAGGGATGGCTCTCCATGCCCCCTTGCTGGAAGAACACAATAGCTCCATGAGAGGGATTTCCCCATCAACACAGTCAGTGTGTTCTCCTGGTAGGGATCACTCCCTTGCCTCCCTTGCTGGAAGAACACAATAGCTCCACAAGAGAGATTCCCCCATCAACACAGTCAGTGTGTGTCCTCCTGGTAGGGATGACTCTCCACTCCCCCCATTCTGGCAGAGCACAATAGTTCTAGGAGACGGATTTCCCATCAACACAGTCAGTGTGTGTTCTCCTGGTAGGGATGACTCTCCATGTCTCCCTTGCTGGAAGAACACAATAGCTCCACGAGAGGGATTCCCCCATCAACACAGTCAGTGTGTTTTCCTGGTAGGGATGGCTCCCTTGCCCCCCTTGCTGGAAGAACACAATAGCTCCATGAGAGGGATTCCCCCATCAACACAGTCAGTGTTCTCCTGTTGGGGATGACTCTACATGCCACCCTTGCTGGAAGAGCACAATAACTCCATGAGAGGAATTCCCCCATCAACACAATCAGTGTGTTCTCCTGGTAGGGATGATTCCCCATGCCCCCCTTGCTGGAAGAACACAATGTCTGGGGAGCCACATGTGGCACATACAGCCTGCCACACAAGTAAATAGCTGCACGCTACAATGCTCTTGTGAATGGCGATTGCATCAGCGTTTACCCGTGAATGTGCATGCAATGTATTTTCTGAATGTGCAAGTTTTGCGTTGGGAAACTAGGATCAGAGCAATATTCCCAATGCACATGTTTTTGAATATGTACTAATGCGACCACTGGTTGCAGACCGGAAGGATTTCAGGGCAAGAGATGTGTCACCAGCACACCAGTGAACTCCATAAAAGGGTCCAATGTTTTACTGATTGATTACATCACGACAGAAGATGGTGATGTATCTGAGCCACGCAGGACCCCTTCATCAGGAAATAGGTTGGACACATGAGAAAAATTTGAAGCAGAAGCCAGGGCATGGCCGCAGGCAGCAACTACATGCAGTGATCATGGCTGTACGCACTTGGTGTGCATTCAGCCATCATCACTGCAGGTAACTGACAGCTGTGCGAACTGACGTGAATAGCTGTTGCAGCCAACAGCCTGTCATTGCACCGTTCAGGTTCAGGAGCTGCAGCTATCCGTACACAGCTGTCAGTCCCCGCTGCAGGAATCAGTAGATTCTTGCTGCTGTCATTTGCATTCTGGCTACATGCAAATGCAGCCTAAGTATCCTAAATCTCAAATATAAATGCTTCAGCATATTTTTTTTCCTAATGTTTCATTCTGCATTTTCACATGGAGGGAATGAGGATCTAAATAGGATCAGCTAATCCCTACATTTTGATACAAGGTTTGCTTTAATAAGAACTACAGTAGTAAAAGAGTTAAAGTCAAACTTTTAACTGGAATAAAAATAAATAAGTGGAATAAAAGGGCAAATCTGTTAACCTTTTCACGCGCTTCTGTTTCAGGTGACAGTTTGCTCTTTTACTTCGAAGGGCTGACCATTTCTGGAAGACTTCAAACACCCAAACAAACGTATAAAAAAGTGAAATATTGAATGACTTTCCATCTGGCTGCGGCGTGGCTTTGCGCTCAAATGATAATCAGCTTTCCTTTTTTTTTGTCCCCCTCTCTAATAATGGCATGAAAATGTACAATTTTGTTTGGTTTAATTACAGTTTACCCGCGTCTGACTTTTCCGCGATCTGTGACGAGAAAAGGCGTGTTGATGTCCTGCCACCGGTGTTATCGCGGGTTGTCATGGCGACGGCTGTTCGGGCAAATTGTGTGTGAAAAGTGAAGACGAGATTCTGGGAGAGACAAAGGAGATGCTACCCGCAGCTAACAGCGGTATCCATTGTGAATCGCTATCAATGAATTATTCATGGGCCGCAAATGTCACAGGAGATCGGCGCTTTTAAAATCCCTGAAAATAAATATTTTGCATTTATGCTTTAATTGGTAAGATGTGTCTGTTTAGGGCAGGTTATAAGACATATGCATTATTCTTATACGGGAGAATATTGGAATGTTTAAATGGCAATGGAAGAGAACCTGTCATAAACAGTGAGCCTGAACATCGGGCAAGAAAAGCAAAAACTACAGAATATTTTATATATATCTAACCAAGTGTAATGATCCAAAACACCTGCCAAACAGAGCAGCCAGGTCAATGATCTCACTTTTCTATACTGCAGTTAAAGGGTACGTCATTGGACTTTATCCAAATTTCTGATTGGACAATGGAGTAGCCTTACCACATGTATGGTGCAATATCTCTGCTCTGTTTTCTTGTCAATAAAGTCCCTCGGATTTAGTTAGACTGACAGCGCTGTGGTATACAGTAGTGCACCAAGAGCTATACACAGGGGTGTATTTACCACAAGGCAAACAAGGCATTTCCCTAGGGCAGCATTTTTAAGGGGGGGGCAGCACTGCCCCTTG